CGCTATCTAATAATTAGATTCAACACTGCATCGATGCAGATCTCGAAAAAATTGAGAAAAGTGAGATTTGATTGGATTTGATCATGGTAACCATGAGTCTAATAATTAGACCCAGTAGGGAATCGATGTAGATTTCGAAAAAAAAACAATGAAATAAGGTTTATATGAACCCAGCCAAGTCGTCAAAAATGTCCGCCTCTCGAGAGGCCGAATTGCTTTTCAACCCTAAAAGTAGCACCCTCCTACGCTTCCGATATTTTTCTATTAGCACAATAACGGTTCGGGCCGTTTGTGCGAAAACTTTTGCGTCTAGCCGGCATATTTTAAGACAGTTTCATTACTTTACAAACATGAACATAACTTATAATATATCAGACAGTTAAATTAAATTATAAAATATGTCGCTCCGTTCTAAATAGATTTTATTTAATTACACAAATAAATTTTATGATTGGATCTTTTATTTTAAATTAAATTTTACGAGCAATCAAGAAAATTACTATTTTTTGTCAACAGGACGTAACGTGTTACTAATCAACTGGATCGAAGAGGTCAAGACTTCGTTAAGCCCAACCCTGCAATGGTCTCCAGACCCTAATTACCAATTAGCTACCCATCCGCTAGTGTTCCTATTTGCGTGACAAGATTCTGAAGCCGGTGTCTCCCGCATGGTACAAGACGAATTGAAATTTCGCCAAAGGATAAAAAATTCCGGAAATCCATGGGACGGGGGCGCGTGTACACACACCTGCCGCCCCGTGCCGAGTTTTCCGTGGCTGGCCGAGGGGTCGGGCCGGCGCGGCGCGGCGAACAGATTAAGCTTTAGGAAGGAGATTTATGGGCGAGCGTGTAACGAGCAACTTTTTCATACGATGCGCACGCCAGGGTTAGCCTCCGGGGGTGGGATTAGCATAAGATCCAGCAGCTGCAGACCGCGCGCGAACACTCCGCCGGCTTCGCCTCCCTTATGCGGAGGATACCGCCCTCCGGAACGATACGGTGTCCACGCGTATCCCATAACCCACCCTCGCCATTACAGAGTCACTTTTCTTTGAAATATCCTCAAGAACCGCTCGCGTATCGACAGACAAAAATCTCGGACGAAGAAACAACCCCCTTCGGTTCGAGATTGCAAATGTTATCCTACATAAACAATACACCGGCATACCAAAAATAGCAAGCAAAATGGCAAAAACCTACTATAATAAGCAAACAATTCTTCTCCGGGATCGTACTCTTCAAGGTGTGAAGGTAATGATCCTTTAAATGGCGGTGTATATTTTTGCCATCATGGCGTCGTATTTATGGCGTCTGAATTTAAGATCAACCCAATCAAATTTTTCATTCTGGACCTCGAGAACCGTTTAGACGACCTTGATACATTATAGATAAGTACATTGTGTTCAAGAAAAATCGTTGCTCACCATATTTGCCTCTTCGAACGATGTTTTCTTTAAAATCTCCAGCCTTACACCAAAATGAGTACAGCAATGTTCTTTGAAGAGATTGATACCGGTTCTAAAGAAGTTGCCGAAGATGCGAATGGCTTTATGGAAATATCGGATGGCGGAGGAAGGAACCCGAGTTCGTTCGGAGCGAGGTCGAGTCACCACCTCGGGGGTTGAAACTTAATTTCTGCGTTTCGGAGCCGCGTGGCGCCAGATCCCGTAACGTGATTCGATAATTGCCGTAATCTGGCAGCGAGCCTTTCCTTATTCCGGCCATATGCCGTCCAGCCCGAAGCTACGGTCCTCAACTACCGACTGTAAAACTTCCTACTGGACGCGTTCGCCTTCTTTTTCTCCTGTTCCCTCCGTTGCCGGAGATTGGAAGCTCTGAAAACAGTCGGCACTCGCTGCCGCGGGATTCGTCAGCGGATTTCGTTCCGTTTCCTCTTCTTTTTCCACCTTTTTTTTCTCATCCCTCGTCTTCATCTTCTTCCCTGCTCCCTGTCCATTTGCTGACGAACGCTTTCATCGGCGTTTCGCGACTTCCACTTTGATTCCGGCGGAGTTCGACTATCGGAGCGTTCTGCGATCTTTCATCAGCGACGGTTATCTGGAACAGCACGCCAACGTGTCAATCAATACCGTGACAAGAGGTTCTAACGTGTAGAATGTCTTCCGTGTTTTTCAGACCTTATTTATTGCACCAATTACAATACAAGCATAAGCATAGTTACTGGGATCAAGGTTCTAAGGAAGTCTAGCCTCGTTTTGCTAAATAATCGAGAGAGAAACTGAGTCCTCCGATGGAAGTTGTTGCAAATAATCTTCTGATCGAAGGTGCTGTAAAAAATGCTCTTCCGACTGAAGTTGTCGTAAATATGAATCTGTGAAGACAATCGGCATTCCACGTTAGCATCCAAGAGTCTTGTAAACGATATAAAGGCTGCAAACTATTTCGATACTTTGGACCGTTTCTATTTAGAATTCCCTCGACCTATCGCTTTTCACAGAGGTTCAAAATCAGTGGTATATACCTGGCGTTACGCTCGACGTAGACTATCCCCAGCCGGCACCTCCGATCGGGCGTCCCAGCGATATTCGCGAAACAATTTTCTACGGATACTTCGTTCACATGGTCGAGCACTTTGTCTCGGAGCGAACCTACCTGGAATTGCCCTAGAGAGGAACAATAAGACACAGATTCCATTAGATCGTCATGCAACGGGCAGGAGGCAGTGGCAGAGCGAGGTGTAGAGGAGAGGAGGCAGAGGCAACGCGAGAAACCCTCGCGTTTGTCCGGGTGCTCCCGGTCCGCGATCTCGATGGCTCGGGCAAGCCGGTGGAGTGGTTGAGGATAGAGACAGGAGGGTGAAGAGCCAGAGGAGAGCAAAACGAGAGAAGTAGCGAGAGAGTGAGAAGAGAGAGAGAAAGAGAGAGAGAGAGGGGGGACCAAGGGAGAGCGGCAGCAGCAGGAATAAAGTGGAGTAGACCGGAATAGAGTACAAGGTGTATGCCTAGAAGGTATAGAGAGAAAATGGTAGCCAATGGCGTTGGCTCGGCGTCGTTGCTACAGTATTGAACGTCTCCTACGTGGGCTCCAGATCTCTCTCCGGTTTGCTGTCGTCTCGCTCGCTCTCCTCGGCCACCCCCTCCCGGTCTCTCGACCTCCGTTTCCTCCTGGTCCTCTCTGGTCCTCCCGCCTCCACTCCCCGGCCACGAAACGGTCCCAGAGATCGGTCCGTTTCTCTCTTTCTCCGCCGCGAGAATCCTCTCGGTCCCTCCGCCGCCGCCTAGCCGTTCCGTCCCGTTCCTGTCCTTCCCTCCGTCGGCTTCTCGTGACCCGACGACGTCCTCCCTCCATTCCAGGGTGGAGAACCTCCCTCCTCCTCCTCCTCCTCCTCCACCTCGTCTTCGTCCTCCTCCACCTCCGTCTCTACCTCCTGGAGCCCCTCGCCGTCCTTCCGTCCCGTCGATGCTTCTCGTCTCGGATCCGACAGGGAGGATCGCACAGCTGGGAGGAAAGGAGGGCCGAACACTCTCGGCATCCTCTCGCTCCTCGCGAAGATCCGTGAGTCCGAGATCTGGGGATGGTGCGAGGCGGCCGCCTCTCTATCCTCTCATTAATATCCGGAGACACGACCTCGGGAGGTCTGAGCCGGTCTACCCGACCCGCAATCCTCATTGGCTGCGATCCTCAGCCTGCTGATGCTCCTATGCGACATCACGACTCGTCCACGTGCAGCATTCGCGATCCTCTTGATTCCATTCGCAGAAATCATGGTTGCGATTCGATCCAAATTTCTTCGATGAGCCGCGGTGCTTTCCCTGTGAAGCGAAAATGGGAAAGTTAATTTTCTTGTTGGTGGTTTTAGCGGTGATCATGTACGCAAATTTAAAGTCGACATTAACTTGTCTAAAAAGTTTTCTCGTTCTTCCTTTCAGTGGGACGATGATGTTAATAACAATGAAATGGTGGAAACAATGAAAAATAAATATTCTGAATTAGTAAGGTCGCTAAGAGATGTCTCCGAGTAAAATTAGTAACAATCTTTGTTGCCTCGAGCTTGATTCAATTGATCGAGGGTTCCCTGCAAGCATTATGCCATCAAACACGCCATCCCTTGCAAGAGGATACTACGAAGAGCTTAACGATGAAAAGCTGTCTCTTATCTGAGTTTCGAAGATAAATTTATGGATCAAGGTTCTATTTTTGCAAATTATTACGGAGAAAGTGAAAAAGTTTACGAGCTGACTTCGCTGGTTATTTTAAAGCTGGAGAAAGATATGGTCGGCCGATAGGGTCGTAACGCAGCGTTCAAATAAGACGCGCTTTCAACCGACCACCGATAATCGGATGCTGAGCAAAAGTTTCTCTATAGACCATTCTGTTGGAACTCCGGTGCACGGTTCGCCGGAATGCAATTCCGTGTTCCGCGAAACCGACGCGATGCATTAGCCAAAGCTCGAATGTTACGGCCTCGACGAAACTTTTTGGTCGGCGGAATCCCCCGGATAATTCACATTACCGAAACACAGATTATTCCTTTTATGGTCGACGGAAACTCGCGAAAAATCCGCGGAGAAAAAAAATCCTGCGATTCGGACGCGAGTTGTCTTTGAACTGGGGGTGTAACTACCCTGGAAACTAATTGCAAGCGAATCCATTCGAACCGCCAGATAAATCGTTGGGAAAAAATTCGGAACGAATTAAAAATCTTATTCCCACAAAATCCCCAGCGAAATCGATGTAAGTAGAAATGAAATATTATTTACTGTACTTATTAGTTGTCGAAATCTATAATTAAATTAGCAGCTTAAATGTGGAAATTGAGAATAGTTCAAGAGTTGAATTGATTGCGAGCGTAAATAAATATTTCCAATACCTAACAGTAGAACTTCGGAGCAATCTGAACTTATAACTTTATGAATAATTTAAAAAATGTAGAAACGAAGAATAATCTAAGAGCCATTTTATAGCTTCGAAGAAGTTTCTCAGTTACTAATTAAATGAAAGCAAAACAGGACAGGAATTAATTCGGAGAGAGAGAGAAATCGTATAGATATTATGAAATTTATTCACTAATTTGTATTATAAAAGTATAATAGCTAGTAGTTGGCAACGCCTTAGTTACTTCACTCGTTTTGATCGTTTCCCCACGAGATTCTTTTGCCGTTCGCGTACACACCTAAAAATCCCGCGCATTCTATCGTAATATACTCTGAGATTTTCCTAATTACACGGTCCTCTAATAGACATCGATCAATCTAATAAACATCAATAAAACTTTCGCGAAACGCGATCGTTCTACCGATTTCTCGGATTAAAAATTTTCACTAACGACAGATTCAACAAGCGTCAATATAATAGCAGCCTTACGTTTATTTATTTGTATAAAAAAAGCAGAGTATTTTTCGATTCTAGGCGACTATTTCTTAATCCTCAACATTCTCAAGCACCGACTAACGACTTCAGCTGGAATGTTATTGGTCTGCAATTTAGAACAATTCAACAATATCGTTGAAGGTTGTCGGATTCCCAACGAAATCGATCAGATTTCTAGTTGTCCGATCGAATAGCTTAACACTCTTGGGATCTAAAATACTGCAGGTTCATCGATTTGTTCTAAACGTAGGCCAATCGGGTCGACTTTTAGACACCGTTGCTCGAAACGATTAGCAGAGTAGAAAATCTGGCAAGGCTAGTGATCATCCGCGTTTAATTAGCTTAAAACGCGCGATGATACGCAACATGCAGCAGCTGCTCTGTAATCTATTTCGTCCCCGGAATCGAACGCGAGAATTATCGTGATCATCGCGTTAAAAAACGTGAAGCATAACAACTCTTAATTCTAATAAATATTTTTCGAATTCGTGTAGAATTCTTGAAAAGTTCTAGAGAAATTGTTAAGCCAACGTTTGGGCCATGATTGCTACGCCTAAATAATTCTTGGCGCCGTAAGCTCAAAGAACAATGACACGAAGCATCGAAGCAAAAACATTTAGCAAGAAATATTGAAACAATTACATCTCCTAGATAGTACCAGTAATAACAACAACTATGCCGTATATATAGGTTGCTTGCCACCAACAGGACTTTATACACATTTATATACGTAGTTAAATAATTCAATGCAAGAAGCTTACTGCAATTTCAATTCATTTCTCATCATTCCGCCTTATTACTACCCGGTTATCACAAATCCTTTTCATTTTTTTTTCCCGTACAAAAATTGTTTACAATTACACCATCTCCTTCTCAATTGATCTCCTCGACATCCACGGAAGTTGATACACTCCCTGTTGCACTTTTGTTCTCTATCTTGATCTTGATTTGCTTACTACTATTTGTTATCTTTCTCGGACTAACTTTCTTTTTCTTTCTGCTCTTGACTACATTTGGAATGGTTTTGACGTTCTTCTTTTTATCGGCTTCCTCACGTTGATCAACAAGAATAACAATATCGTCATCTGTATCATCTTCATACTTCTGCGTATCTGCCTTCTTCTCATTGGTGATGAATTTTTTCAAAGGACTGTCTCTGGACGTTGAAGGAAGCTGCTCCTCTCTAGCGACAGAGATCAGGATCGCCCTCTTCGGAGGCTTGACAGGCTTGTCAACAGTTAACTGCTTCTTCATCTCCTCTTGCGTAATCTTCTTAGTGAATTGCGTAATTAATGGCACGTTCTTCTTGTCCTCTTCCTTCTCTTCGACCTCCATCATCATCTGCATGCGTTTCCTTTTCGGTATCAGATTATAGGACCATTGATTCGGCAACTGAAGGTCCTCTTCGAGGTACTTTTTCCGGATATCTTGAGGGACGTACCAGCAAGGCTTCAAGTGCATGGGACCCTCTTCGGGGCACGAAGTCCACTTTCCCAAGTCGCGAATCTTGTGCATCAGGCTGCTCTTCGAGATTTGGTTCCCCAAGGGCTCGTGCTTCTTGTTCCAGAACGTGAAGAACTCTTTGACTAAGAACCCTCTGCCGTGCGTGTTGCCGTGTAGCAGTCGAATCAACTCTGGAATTGCCTCTGCGGGGAAACGGGATTTTCTGGAGTGTTTTGGGGTCGATTGATCCGTGGTTGTACCGCATTCTGCACCCGCGTCGTTTTCTATTGCCGTTGGCAGAGACACTGGAGTCTGCTGCACCCAGGCCTCGCGAGTCAAGAGGAAGTCCCTGGTTCTTGGAGGAACTAGAATCAGAGATTGGGCTTCTACATTATACTTGATCCTTAGGCTTCCTGTTGAGGAAGATTTTATAAATATGGGTGATGGGGGGGGGGGGGGGCC